TTTAGTTTTATTATTCCCAACCTGTGGATGGAAAGATTTATGTTTTTTTTTGTTGTTGTTGTAAATAAACCTGATCATTTTTAACTTTCAAATCCCACGTTATTGTCCCTTCCTTTTTGCACACGAGCCAAACTCCCCAGGAAGAGTCATAACACCACTCGCCTCACACACATAAGTGACCAAAACAAAGCAGCATGAAGACACTCCGTCTCCAACCACCTCTCAGGCAGCAGCCTGCACTCCCAAGTTCTACACGTCACCAGAACATAACCAACCACAACACAATAAAAGCAGTGTTATACAAAATGGAAGGCCTGTAGTGTTTATTCTCTTACGATACCAATTAATCAATTTTTTTGAGGAATTTATTTTAGATTTTTTGGTTTTTATTAATTGTGCAATAAAAAAATAACCGTTAGATTAATCATCTAAATAGTCATTAGAATAGTTGACTATTCGATAAAATAATCGTCAGAATAATTGTTTAAAAAAAATCGTTTACCACCAGCCCTAACGGTAATTGTTGTTACCTCTGCCAGAAACCTTGCAACCTCATCCTCAGACTTTGATGGTCCTTCATTTAATTCCATTGAGAGAATGCAATGCCGATTGTAGTTTTCTGGCGCTGTACTTTCGGGATCTACTTGGAGTCCTGCACCTGCCAATGAGATCATCATACTATGGCAATACCGCTCAACTAAAATGTATTACATCTCTTTTTTGATTCTGTTCCTTCACAAATGTTATGGGAAGAGTTTAGCAATTTGTACATCAAATTCATGTTTTTCATGCCTAAATGTTTTCGAACTTGGTTACGTAATTTCTGTAAATCGTACGTTCACCTTTTTAACACCCTCCGAGTTTGCAGGTATGCATTTAGTGTGATGTCATTGACAGGCGCAGGACCCTTTAGACCTGGTTATATGGTACAAAGCAGCCATTATTTTTCAACAACTGGACATCATTTTATTCATTTTCAACAACATTTTGATAGATATTTTCAGAGATTATCTGTAAAAACTACTCATTGTCTCTTTAAGTGCCTTTGTCTGCTCATGGCTCAAAGGAAAGCCCTAGTCTAAATCTTTCAAAGTGAAAGCCTAAGCCGTTTCAAATGTAGTTGTAGTTTTTTTTCCATCATGGCTCTGGTGCTAAGACCACCCAACATCTCCCTACAAACATAGAGGACTGTGATTGGCTTGACACAAAACTGATCAGACCAATGGTAGACTTTCTGAGGCTACAATGAAGTGTGACTGGACCGACCTGCAGAGCAAAAATTTGTTGCTACTGGTATGCTAGCTATAGCCTATATCTACCAGTGTTGATATCAGTGAACCTTTGTGAGAGTTATTGTCATGTAAGTGGACTGGAAACACATCTAAGAGAACACAGGGGTCAAGGGTGAATGACATATCAATCAATCAGTCAATCAATTAATACTTTATTAATCCCAGAGGGATATGAAGAGGAAGGCTAAAATGAATTCTGGGGAGAACACATGGAAAGGACTAGGGAGACGGGATATGGAACGAACAGGGAGGACAAGGACACCTAGGAGGGAGAAACATGGAATGGACTGGGGAGATAAGGGACACAGGACTTGACACACTATGGCACACTATAGAAAGAGTAGTCACCAATATATTAATTCAATGAATTAAATTCAAGCAAAGTTGTTCAGTAATTCCCTGAACTATTCCTCTCAGGTAGCATGGCAGAGAGCTGTACCTTTGGGTGCAGAGAGGGTGCCCTTGAAACTTCCCAAATTATCCCAAATAGTTTGATTGTAGGGTTTTTTGAGGCCAGGCCATCTGCTGACTTCTTGGTCAAGCTGCCCTCCACCATTTGAGGATGAGTTATGGGTCATTGTGCTTTCCAAATAATGACTAACCTTGGAGCAGGAACAAGATGTAATAACAGACTTATTAAATAATTCATTTGATTAATTATTCTTGTTATCTTTTTGCCTAAAATGATCTTGCAGTTTTTCATGACGAATAATACAACAGGCAAGTCACAGACATGTGTGACAGAAAGAAAAGAAAGTTTAGCCTAGAAGATGATAATTCATCCATCTGCTATTGATCTATCATCCACTACAAATGCCTTTTCACTTCAAAACAGCCGGAGTCAGTGAAAACAGATTTGTGTGTGTGTGTGAGGTGAAATAAAAATGTGTTTTTGACAGTTCGGCTGATTAAGGTGCTACCAGTGGGGGGGAAGAAGAAAAAACAGGCTGAAAACTGAGTGGGAGATAAAATGATTTATGGGAGATCTGAAAGGAGAGATAAATGGCAGTCAAAATATCAGATTGCAAAAAAGGGAGCTGAAGAAAAATAAAGCAGGTGATTAGTGTAGAAGGAGGGAGGAAGGGATGGAGATGAAGGGGATGTGATATCTTCAGACGTGCCTGTCTTCCCCTGCGTCTTTGCTTTCAGTCACACGTGTGCAGATGCAGGCAGATAAAGGACAAGCAGTGAGCGGCGTGCAGTAATTCCAGCTTATGCACTCGGAGAAGTGGCGACTGTATGTAAATTACACTGGAGTGGATTTTGTTTCACTGGATCAAGTTGTCATAAACTTGTTTGTCAAGCCAACAAAACCGTATCACTTTGAAACATCTGCTGCAACTTCAGCTCCATTTTTTCTTTTCTTTTTTAAAACTTAGGTTGATGCTAGTGCACGTGTTGCTCTGGTGTGCATCCACTTGAGGTTTGGCTTTCTCAGCATGTGTGGAATTGGTTTAAATTCAGAGTAAAGTTACATAGCATGCGTTTAAAGTATTTTTCCTTTTAGTTAAGGTTAAATCAACCCCGTGAAACAAAAGTCTGTAAAACATCTGAAACATACAGTGGGGCAAAAAGTATTTAGTCAGCCACCGATTGTGCACGTTCTCCCACTTAAAATGATGACAGAGGTCAGTAATTTTCATCACAGGTACACTTCAACTGTGAGAGACAGACTGTGAAAACAAATCCATGAATTCACATGGCAGGATTTTTAAAGAATTTATTTGTAAGTCAGGGTGGAAAATAAGTATTTGGTCAATAACAAAAATTCAACTCAATACTTTGTAACATAACCTTTGTTGGCAATAACAGAGGTCAAACGATTACTATAGGTCTTTACCAGGTTTGCACACACAGTAGCTGGTATTTTGGCCCATTCCTCCATGCATATCTTCTTGAGAGCAGTGATGTTTTGGGGCTGTCGCCGAGCAACACGGACTTTCAACTCCTTCCACAGATTTTCTATGGGGTTGAGGTCTGGAGACTGGCTAGGCCACTCCAGGACTTTCAACTGCTTCTTACGGAGCCACTCCTTTGTTGCCCGGGTGGTGTGTTTGGGATCATTGTCGTGTTGGAAGACCCAGCCACGTTTCATCTTCAAAGCTCTCACTGATGGAAGGAGGTTTTGGCTCAAAATCTCACGATACATGGCCCCATTCATTCTGTCCTTAACACGGATCAGTCGTCCTGTCCCCTTAGCAGAAAAACAGCCCCAAAGCATGATGTTCCCACCCTCATGCTTCACAGTAGGTATGGTGTTCTTGGGATGCAACTCAGTATTCTTCTTCCTCCAAACACGACGAGTTGAGTTCATACCAAAAAGTTCTACTTTGGTTTCATCTGACCACATGAAATTCTCCCAATCCTCAGCTGTATCATCCATGTGCTCTCTGGCAAACTTCAGACGGGCCTGGACATGCACTGGCTTCAGCAGCGGAACACGTCTGGCACTGCAGGATTTGATTCCCTGCCGTTGTGGTGTGTTACTGATGGTGACCTTTGTTACTGTGGTCCCAGCTCTCTGCAGGTCATTCACCAGGTCCCCCCGTGTGGTTCTGGGATTCTTGCTCACCGTTCTCATGATCATTTTGACCCCACGGGATGAGATCTTGCGTGGAGCCCCAGATCGAGGGAGATTATCAGTGGTCTTGTATGTCTTCCATTTTCTGATAATTGCTCCCACAGTTGATTTTTTCACACCAAGCTGCTTGCCTATTGTAGATTCACTCTTCCCAGTCTGGTGCAGGTCTACAATTTTTTTCCTGGTGTCCTTCGAAAGCTCTTTGGTCTTGGCCATAGTGGAGTTTGGAGTCTGACTGTTTGAGGCTGTGGACAGGTGTCTTTTATACAGATAATGAGTTCAAACAGGTGCCATTAATGCAGGTAATGAGTGGAGGACAGAAAAGCTTCTTAAAGAAGACGTTACTGGTCTGTGAGAGCCAGAGATTTTCCTTGTTTGAAGTGACCAAATACTTATTTTCCACCCTTATTTACAAATAAATTCTTTAAAAATCCTGCCATGTGAATTCATGGATTTTTTTTCACATTCTGTCTCTCACAGTTGAAGTGTACCTATGATGTAAATTACTGACCTCTGTCATCATTTTAAGTGGGAGAACTTGCACAATCGGTGGCTGACTAAATACTTTTTTGCCCCACTGTATGTCTGCTTGACCTTGCTTTTGTGTTTCATCGTGTGTTTTAGAAGTCATTTTTGTGTCTGTCTCATCGAAGTTTCTTCTAACAATTGACTCAAACCATACTGCTGTGCTGCCGGTCTATTTTCCTACTTTTCTTTCATGTCTCTAGCCATTTTCTTAGAGTAGCAGCAGCACCAGTTCTTTGTTGTTAACTGTGCAGGAGGCTTTCAGGCTCAGCGTAGAGCTCTAGGTCGACTGTGTTTCTGAAGCTTTTGTACAATTACTGTAACAGCAACCCCCCTCAAAAAATGCAGAAAAGTAGATTTTAAGTACAACTATATTGCTTGAGTTGTGTTTAGAAGGAAGCATGGTGTGGGGCATTATCCTGCCAGCTGGACTGGTTCGTAGAAGTTTTCTGTGTGAAATGCAAGAGGCAAACAAATAAAACATGTTTTTTGTGCATTGTTAGGAGTGGGGATTGGTCGCTGGAATTTTTATACCAAAACAAATCAGCAAACTAATCTCCTTTGGTTTTTTAGGATGTATTTATTCTGTTTTTACTTTTCAGTACCCAATGGGGGTTATTTTCACATGGAAGAGGAGGAGGAGGGAGTGCCGTGTGGACAGGATGCTGAGATCTGCAGCCCTAACCAACACCCGTATTCACAGGAAAGGTCTGTTATAATATATGCATTTCTTTATAGTAACACAAGTCATTGGTGAAAAATTGAGGAAGTCGACATTTTGACCCATTCACATGGCTACTAACTTGGTTGTTTTCAGGGAAAATTTAAACACATCGAACTCGGCTCAGCCTCAGTCCCCCTCCCAGAACCAGAACCAGCAGCACTTCCAGCACATCAAAGCCTCCAAAAGCATGGACCTGGGTACGACTCAAAGCCAGCATCACATTGGTGGGGAGATTTTTTTCTTTTGCTTAAATTCTCTGCATGGTGGATGCATGCATCGTGTTCCAGTCTTGAAATGCATGGCTGTAGACTCACACCAACGCAGGCTTGTATACATCACACACTGTAAAATCTGATTAGTTAACCTTTAACCAATTTCATTTAAATTAATAAGTACATAGTAGGTAATTATGTGTTGGAGCCACTGATGCCCACAATGTAAAATGCACTAAAGTGCAATGTACTGTGACTAAGACATACCAGTACATAGTACTTGTAAAGTTCCTTACTGAATTTGTATTTTTGAGTCCTGCATAGTTAATCAGTAATAAACAGTAATCAATTTTTAAAGCTCTCATTCACTGATTTTCTTCAATACATTTGCAGTGGTCTGTATAACTATGTATGTATATATATATATATATATATATATATATATATATATATATATATATATAGTTATTTATAGTATAAATGAATGCACTGTAAGTCCTTCTCTGTGAAGAAAAACACTAGTGCTCCTGTTTCAGGAAGTAGAAGTTAGCCAAAAGACAGGGGACAGAACATGGCAACAGTCTTGGACTTCTTGCCTCTGATTGGCTAACAACAACACTACTTTTCCACTGCCTTCATTCACTCTGCAACGTTGATGTTTTATCTCCACAAATAACATAAATAACTCCATGTTGTGGAGTTGCTAATGCTAATGTTAGCTTCCACTGACCTTTTTCTGACCCGAGCATTTCCCCGTATATTTTCTATTGGCGGCCAATGCAGGGAATATGGGTAGAAGACTATTTTCACGTTCGACGTGAAAGTGAAACCGATCTTATTTTAAAAGTAACATGTAAGAAAATGGTTTCTCAGTGAACCAGCTCTTTAAGCATGTTGTGCTGGTTTGTGTTTAGCAGGCGACTAAAACTTAAACTTATGTGACACATTGTCAAGTTCAGTTATATTAGAGTTTGCTAATAGTAGTAACACCATGAAAAAGTCATGTATATTTGTTCAAACATATTTCAATTTTTTTACATATTTTAGTTGCTCATATTTGTACGGTTAACTTATCTAAACTAAGTCATGACAACTATTCGAATTTACAGTGTACATTTAATCATTTTAACAACTTTTTATCTAATTTCTGAGTCTGTGCTTACATTTAATGTGATAAATCGAGAGCTTTGCAGAAAGAGCTGAGTCCTGTCAGTGGTTTAATAATTGATGTATTTTCATTTATGAACCCTCTCTCTCTGTTCACATTTAATTTTCCTGTCAAAGCATGGAAAAACGAGTAATAAGACGTGTCGCAGGATTTTAAGCTGGGCGTCAATACATCCTCTTAATTTTGAAAACAAATGTCAGAAAAGCAGCTTTCCCAGCGCCCGTAATCGCCCTTTCCCTCCAGGTTTTTGTCACCTGTTGCTCTCTGATTACTGATGTCCTCATGCAAGTGTTGAATGACATTTCAGTGATTGTTTAAAAGTCAGCTCTGAGATACACACGTGCATGTGTGCACACGCGTGTCCGCGCCTTTGCATTCATCAGTGCAACATGACAGCGGATGGAGCCGGGCAACAAAAGCGTATTGTTTCAAATGTCACTTTCCTCAGTCCTCCTCCTCAAGTTCACTGAGCTGCCAGATGTTCATGTGTCAATGAAAGACAGACAACGGAGAAAAAGAAATTTATTTGAACTGCACAAACATCAATTTCTACACAAATCACAAGCTGATGATACGTCTCGCAGAGCTTCACATCGTCTGTTTTGAATATTTTTTAGGTCACAGTCAGGTTTAGTGCAAATTTGTGATTTCATTTAGTATTATTTATTAAAGAAAAGTCATTTAACGCATTTTGATTAAAAACGTAATTTAATCCAAAACATGTGACAGATTACATTTACTTTACACAACCTTTATTTTTCATAAGTTTTCACTTATGTGTTCCAATTATTATTATTTGAATATTTGCTTTTCTGATTAAAATATTTTCTTTTACCATAAAAAATAATGTAAAATTCTGCTTTGTCCCTTATTTTCACCCCTAAATCTTTGAGTATCTTTACAAATTATACAAAGTAAAATTCACTTTTGACGTTGTACAGAAAAAACAATCATTTCTAACTAAGACTAAATTTAGTAGCATCTTTAGATTTCTTCCTCTGCAATATTAATGTGCAACTTTTGCTTTGTAAAATAAAAGCTCTCAGATGGGACATGTGGTTGAAGCTTAGATCAGAGCAATACAGGCTACCCAGACACACTCATAAATGTGACTAGGATTAAACATTTCTCACTTGATTTGGGATCTGATTTGTTCATGAATAATAAAAAAAATACATCTTCAGGTTTCCAGTAGAATAGTTTAAAAGTGAATTCATTTGCACCCTGTTTAACTTTGCATATTTTAATTAAAGTGATCAGTCAAAATCAAGCGCATTGGCTATGCCACCGTGTGAGAAAACAACAAAGTTGGATTTAAGTATTAATACATTAACGGTAATTACATCCTAGATGGCTGTGAGTGTAGCCAAAATAAATCCTTTGCGGAGCGGACACATCTCTGTATTTGTCATTTTGAGGGGAAAAATTATCGAAAAAAGAGCAAAAACTCATAAAAGAATGGCTTAATAAACGTAGCAGGTTGCTTGTGCTTTGGGTGAATGGCTGGAACTTTATATTTATGACCGCTGTAAAAAGCAGGTGTTTCTTGGTACAATTTTCATAGGAACTCTTCAATGTTGTATTTAATTTTTTTATGATTCCTCACATTTATGTTGCAGTTTAAAAAGATTGGATTAGACATAAATGCTTCTAGAACACTGATAGGCTAGCACAACTACGGGATAAAAATAACAATAAAAAATACATCTAAATGCCTAAGTTTGAATAGAAGAGGTTTATGGTGTCTGGGAGTCCTGCTGTCAGTTGTTTATAATGAGAACATAAAATAATATTTATTTGTGTCACTAAAAGTGCTTTGTTTGCATAGCCGGTGCTTATTTTTAGCATGAACTGACCAGCACATGTTTTAGTAATGATTTCATGCTGTGTTTTGGCTGCTGTGATATGGAAAGACTGAAACAGCCCAGCTTCTCTTTTATGGGCCGGTTATATAATTGTTTTTCAGTTTTCAATTTGACCTGATTTTGAGTTTTTTGGGCTAAAATACACTAAGAAAAACAAATCTAATTAAAAACAAAGTGAGATATATTAATGTTTCGTTCCATAAGGATATGTAAATTTCTTTTTTTTTGTTGTTGTAATTTTGCACAGAGAAAAAACACAATAATATATAAGGCAATACAAGAAAAAGGTACAATAAAATTTAAACAACAGAATTTCAGCAATGGAATTTAGATTGAATAGACTACCTATTGAAAATATTTCCATTTAAAGGTCTAGCAGCAGCATTTTGGAACCTATTATGACTTTTTAAAAACTTAATTTTTAATTCAAACAAGAAGATCTAAGATCTTAACAAGAAATCTAAGCGGATACAACCATCTCCAGTTTACATTTTTACAATCTTAATTATGTGATAACAGGGTATCCGCGAGCCCTTAAAAAGTCTTTAAAAGTCTTAAATTTGCTTTTCCAAATTTAAGGCCCTAAAATCCTTAAAAATGAAAAATAATCCTTAAATACAGTTTCTAAAGGTCTTAAATGATCAAAGACCTAATAAACAAGATTCTTTTATTTCTATAAAATTTTCATGACTTTCCAGTTAGTGTTCAGCATTTTTTGTGTATAATATTGACATAAGCGGAACCGTACACATTCAGTTGGTTGTGAAAGGGGGCTATTTTAAATGAGCACATTAGCTGATGAAGCTACTGGGAGCTTGCGCCATGGGGAAGTGCAAGTTTAATGGTAACTTGATGGCTAATCTCACGTTCGCGACGTGATTAGCACCAGTTCCAGGCAATAGCTGGAAGTTATAACTTAAGTTGAATTTTAAAAATAGCTTAAATTTGGTCAAAGTAGCCTTAAAAAAGGTCTTAAAAAGTCTTAAATTTGACTTCCTTAAACCTGCAGATACCCTGGATAACATTAGCTGCTAATCAGCCTTGGCTTCAAAAACCTTAGGTCTGACAGGCTGAAGCGTTAGAATCAAATATCATCACTCTAAATATGGTAGGAGATATTACTAAATATAAGAATACTTTGTCTAAAAGGAAGGACAAATAGTAAAAAAGGAATATCCCCAAAACAGAACCCTGTGGTACACCTTTGACATAATCTGGTTTGGACAGGTGTTAATATTGTCACTTTTAGATTCAATTTCTTTCAGCCGCCTTCATTCTATGTATAAATAAACCTCTTTATGGATTTAGCTCAGTTGAAAAACCAAATTCTGGTTTGTTGAAGGCAAGAGTTAACGGAGAGCTAACAATATGAATAATGATCAAAGGAGGAGAAGTGATCTGGGTGGAGAGAGTAACCAAAGAAAGATGACAACATTGAAGGAGATACATGAGGAGCAGGGGGTAAAAGGTCAGAGAGATACACAACAGGTAGCAGCAAAAAGCTGGAAGTGGGAGAAGGGATGAAAAATGAAGTGAGAGCAAAGGGAGGAAGGGAAAAAGCTTCAGTAGCAGTGGAGCTGACTTAACATCTGAGGGAAAAGAGCAGCTAGCTTGGTCATCCAGTAAAACTAGAGAGAATGAAGCAGGACAGGAGCAGAAGTGAAGACAAGGATAAAGCGTTCATCTGGAAAACCCCCCAGAAATTTTAACTTGACTTTTTTTGTGTTGCAGTCGCCGACGAGAGCAACGTTGGATCACTCAGTGTAGTCACTTCTGGTGAGCCGAATGCATGATCCGTTTCAGACACAAACACACTCAGCCAATATGTAAAATAAACAACTCAATTCCGTTAAGTACAAATTAGAGTAATTTGCTCCAGGATTAGGGATCCCAGTGAAGTGTGATTTGCCTCTAGAATAAATAATTTTACTGTTTTGAGAATCATGAATGAACAGATATAATAAGTGTATCGAAAAAGGAGAAACGTACCACTTTGGCACTATTTTAAGAGGAGACAAGATAGAAGCCTGACATGGCTGACACCCCGAGAACTCTCATCTCAGGCCCTGTCCACATGAAGCCGGGGATCTGCCAAAATGTAGATATTTTTCTACGTTTTGGCCTGTCATCCACACGAAAACGGAGTTTTTTCACACGAAAACGGATCTTTTTAAAAAACTCCGGCCAAAGTGAAGATCTGCGTTTTCTCCGTTTTGGGTGTCTGCGTGTGGACAGACAAAACCGGAGTTTTAAGGTCCGCAACGTCACTTTCCGCGACAAGAAAATGCTGACATCACGTGTGCGACCTGTGTTTACACTAGCCGACAGCATGGATGCCCTCAGAGCTGCGCTCGCTTTATCAATTGTCCAAGCGCTTTCTGCTTGTTTGTTTTTGCAAGTGGAATTACTGCTCCTTGCGGAAGACCACAGACGAAGGACGAGGTTAAGAACGGCTATTGCCCGGCACCTGGCTTCTCCAAGTACTGCCGCCTACAGGTCTGGCATGTCCTTAACAACGTATTTATCCGGGTACGTGTGGACAGAGTTATTTTTTAAACGAGGTGGTGTGGATGCAAGTTTTTGGAGGGGCGGATATTCGTTTAAAAAAAACGGCTACGTGTGGACTAGGCCTCAGTAGCCCACAAATACGCCTTTTTTTAAGTTTTATCTCAAACTTTTCTCTTTGCCTTGAAGTCTCCATTTCATTTGTAGCTACTTGAGAGCGCTCTTCATTCCACTTGCTACCTTCCTGCATGCTGCTTTTTTCATGACAATCAGCCTTTTTCCCCCACATTCTGCTGAGCTCTAGTTTGAAACACGGTGGTACCGGTGTAGGTACAGGATCTGCTCGGGTGCAAAATCGGCTCGGGGTCCATCGACTGCCGATGACGTCAAAGTAGTTGATTGGCTGAACATGAACCTTACGGAATTACATAATCACGTTACGTTGTTATCACGTTACGTTGTTATCACGTTACGTTGGTCCAGGCGAATCTTTCTGTTGGAAAGATGGACAACTTTTACAAAGAAATCCATCATTACCTCTTTGAAAATACACTTTTAGCATAGAGCTGCATGTATATTAGGGCTGAACGATTAACTGCATGTGCAATTAATTTGCGATGTGACAAAAGGAGATTTTCTAATCGCAAAGGCTGCAATTTGGCAGCAAGTGGTTAGCGCAATGCTAATATACATGGAAAAACCCATAGGAATGCTAATGCTAATATCACCGATTACATTCTTACAAATTATGAATTAGAAACGTGCCAAATGATTACATTTGGAGTCTAATAGAAAGTAAAACTACCATCAATCAAATAAGTACAGACAGGTATTTTAGTAAAGCCAGAAAACTTCTAACTCCAGAGTTTTGGCTATAGCAGCTATGAGCGTACCTGAACTACGCATGGACGTCAAAAACTAAACACAAAATACTTCAATAAACGGGACACACTTCTTTCCTGCAAATACAATTTCACAGGTGTTGCTAATACCTATGATCCTTCTAGGGATGTGCTCAAAGAGGATTTCAACATTATGAATACAATATAGTGTTTTATTTTACTAATACCATTATAAACACAAACTTACGTCTTAAGAAACATTATTTTAATAACGAAACTGCTAAATTCTTTCCAACAGTATAGATGTGTAGTGTATTTTGTCCGACTGGGTTTGCCGTACTTTGACGTCATCGGCAGTCGAAGGACCCCGAGCCGATTTTGCACCCGAGCAGATACTGTACCGACACAGGTTTTTATTAGGTCCACCTTCTCTCTAAGGGTGCCCAGCATGATATCATAGGTACAAAAAGAGGGAATACAAGGCTCATGAAGTATAAACTGAGTTAGAAAAATCATAAAACTTACAAAAAATATCTCACTTTTTAATTTGGATTTTAAATGCAGCTTGAGCACAAACAGATCATCTATGTCTTTAGGAAAATTTTGCAGAAGAGCAATAAATAATGAAGGAAATGCAAAAGAATAAAATAAAACAATCATCTGAGTTATTAACTATTATATTTTATCTTTGTTGCAGCTTGTAATTAGGGTAAACGGTGTGAACAAATAATGGAGTGTGACCACATTTACATGTATTTTTCCTGGAGCAACCAGGATTTTGTTCTGTTTTATTCTAGATCACTGTTGACTGCATATTGTTTTCAAATAACCATAGAAATTTGGAATTAGTTAAAGTTTTTTCATTTATTGGAATTAAAGACGCAGACAACATCAGGGGGTTTATGTGAGTTATTTGTTGTTTACCACCACCGACTCTTAAACAGCTGAATTTTTAGGTTGAGGCACTGTTCATAATTTATCAGACCTTGGCTGTCCAGAGTCCTTGGTCTTTGTGGTGTTTCCTACAGTAATACGCCTGCTGAACGTCCTTTCAAGCCTCTCAAGGTCCATTTTATCTCCTGGTTGATTTCCAGACTTTTACTGCTACAGCCTATTTACACATTCTCTATACTGTACCTGTTGCTTGTCCGAGTGTCTCCTGTTTTATAATGCTATATAGTCCAGAGAGCTGTTAAAGTGAGTGTGTGCCTGGCAGACATGGCAGCAATTTTTTCCCCCAGCAGATAGTTCCTTGGCTCTAATGCATTTTTTATAAGTGAACTGTGTCTAGCGGCCCGGTGCTGGGATGTTGGACAGCTGTGAGAATGCTGAGAGATGGAAATATGGGGTGGGGTCCTGGAAAATCAGCAGTCTGAAGACAATAACTTCTGGGAAATTTGTTCTCTCTTCCAGCAACTGTTTGTCCCACCCACACCCAAAGAAATTGCTGGGCATCTGCTCCGAGTGCACACATGCACATACGCACACGGATAACATATAACTGTCATTATGTTAATTTTATAGTAATGGAAAATCTCCGTCATCCAGTGGAAAATGTGAACTTGGGGAGATTTCTTGTCCTAATTTTGCAGAAGCTGAGATTTTAACTGGTGGAAACTGGCGGCAGGGTTGCAGAATTTGTTCGTGCATGTGAGGAAACTTAGTGAAAGTTGTTCGCTTTTATTAACAGAATAATTTGACAAATTTAGGCGGCAGAAATCTGAGCTAGTCTTTGGAACACATTTTGTGGCTTTTAGAAGTAAAACAGCTTCACCAGTCAGCAGTTTGGCATCTAAACAGGTTGTGTGTGTGTGTGTGTGTGTGTGTGTGTGTGTGTGTGTGTGTGTGTGTGTGTGTGTGTGTGTGTGTGTGTGTGTGTGTGTGTGTGTGTGTGTGTGTGTGTGTGTGTGTGTGTGTGTGTGTGTGTGTGTGTGGTTAGACAAGCCTTACGTCTTTCTGCTGATGCAAATAAATGGAAGCACCATCCTTCCAATGATGATTCAAATCAGCTGTTGGAGCAAATTATGTGAGTTGCAGCCTAACTAGAGACAAAAAGTGGCCTTTCTGAGTGATTTTCAAGGAAAAATGTAAATAATTGGCCTGCATTGTTAGAGCTTTTTAAAATGACCTTTTAGTAATGCACATTAAAGCTGCTGAGATGACATAAAGGGGATGATTGCAGGTGTTTTTCTCAGTTCGGTGCTTTCTCTAGATGATGGAAGACGTGTGATGGTCTGCTTAGCAAAATTAGTGTTGGAATGAATTTTGATTAATTAAAGCAAAACTTAATAAGCCCCCCTTTTCTTCCCCTACTGGTTGAAAGCAGAAGTACCATCCATCTATTTTTATCAGCTTATCTGGGGCCGGGTCGCGGGGGCAGCTGCCTTCTCTCTCTCCAGCCAATTGGGCCAGATTCTCCAGGGGAATCCCAAGGTGTTCCCTGACCAGCCGAGAGATATAGGGTGTTTCTCAATGCCAAGGAACCTTGTCTTGATGTCTTGGCCCCGCCCCGGTTGCCTAGGAGATACGTCATTGGGAGTTGCCAAGACGTGTTCCAATGTTCATGCTCTACCGAGGCGTGTGTTCTCCGTTTGTTAGCCATTTAGCTAGCTGAGCGAGGATACACGGGAGGTGTCTTGTGTCTTGTAGCCTAGCCTTGGTCAAAAATTACCCAGAATACACCGCAGTATTTTCAAAAAGACGGCGCATCAGAAGCCAGCAGCTACTTTGGGGACAATTTTCAAGTTTAAAAGTAAGTCAACTAATTTAAAATGTTTTTTTAAGATCCAAAGAAGTTATCTATTGTTGGTTAGTTGCTTACAGCTTTGGTGGCTAGCGGGTAGTAACTGACTTATATTTTTAATTTAATAAACATATACACAATTCAAAAAGTAAAAGTCTTGTTATATATTTATATTGAAACTAATAAGTATAAAATATAACATTGTCTCCCGTGTCACGTAATGTTACGTGACTGCCGTGGAAGCCGCGGTCACGTGATGCTGTTTGTTCCATTTAACCATTTTCTTTGACCAAGGAAGGACAGTGTCCTCATTAGCAAGGCACCTGGCTTTGCGAGACATCGCCTCACGAGGTCATTCTCCTTGACATTGAGAAACACCCATGGTCCCTCCAACGTCTCCTGGGTCTTCCTTTAGGTCTCCATCCGGTTGAACGTGCCCGGAAAACCTCACCAGGGAGGCGTCCAGGAGGCATCCTTCACAAATGTCCAAGCTAACTCAACTGGCTCTTCTTGATGTGGAGGAGCAGCGGAGCCCCGCACCTTTCCTGGGTGACCAAGCTTCTCACCCTATCTCTGAGGAAAAGCCCAGACACCCTGTGGAGAACACCGTTTTCGGCCGCTTGTATCCACAATCTCATTATTTCAGTCACTACTCAAAGTTTGTGACCACAGATGAGGTCTGGAAC